ATAAGGGCTTTTTTGCATGTCATTAAGAGCTTAGGAAAGAAAGCTAATACCTAATGTTCTACTTTAGACCAAAAGTGGCAGGTGTTAGAAAATCCCTGATACTATTCATGTTTGCTTTTATTTTTCTGTTTTTTGTAGCTAGAAGGGTAGGAGATAGGTGGAAATAGGGAGAGGGGTGTATCCGGGTGAGAGAGAAGTGTGTGTGTTCCGAAACTCTCCATCAAACTGCCAGCGGCCCTGTTTGTTATTCTGCACTCCGATCATGCAGGTACTTGGCACATTTCTGTTCCATTTGACAGGCTCAGATTTCAGGCAGACCATTGGCAAGCTGAACCATGTGTCTGTGGTGTCAGATTCTTCCTTGCACAGGGGGCAAGGCAAAAAAACTGGGTAGTGGCCAAGGAGAGTTCATGCCACACGTCCTCACACAGATCGTTTTTTTATTCTTTGAACTACCCTGTCACCAAGGCAGGAGGAGACAGAGTTGTATTTAAGCCCAACTTGACTCGAAAAGACATTGATGTCTGGTTAGCTTGTTCACAGTGGTCAGCCAGCAGCAGGGAATTGTAGCATGAGGGGAGGTGGATCCCCGGTCACGTGACAGCCACGTGTATTGGAGGTTTAAAGGATCCTCTTAACTGCCTTGCAGTGAAATAACCTCAGAGTTTCTAGAACAATGACCAGCACCTAGAAAATGTTTGCTTCACGCACTCTTTCTCCTGCAGGATGCCTAATGCCTCAAGAATATCTGTTTAAAAAAAATTAACTCTTATTTTCACCTATATATCATTTTTTCTGAAATAGTTGATGCTTTGCCAAACATAAGTGGAGGCCAGAGAACAGTATACCACATACATCTGTCATTTACTGAAAGGCAGCATTCTTGCCTAGAACGGCCCAGTCATCTCCTATGTATGTGTGTGTTTATGTGAATCTAGATTCGGGTCAGAGCCACCCAGGAGGGAAAGAACCTGATGTTTGACTGTATCATCCACACAGGCCACAAACTAGCTCTAAATGTCTTCTTGATGTCTTGTTTACTCACTGCCTGCCTAGAATAGGTAGAAGAGTCAGCTGGACTTTAAAATAATAGACATGATCTAATGCCTTCCGTCTATTTCTGTTTAAGCAGCCCTAGAATAAACTGGCTTAGAGGAAGGCCCTATTGGAAACCATTTCAGTATCACCAACAAAACTGATGCACACCTACAACTTACACACCTATACGCTACAACCCAACTATTCTGCTCCCAGAAAGAACAGCTTTGGGAAACCAAGAACGTTCATAGATGTGTTGTTTGTAATAGCCAAACTTGTTAATAAACAAAATGAATAAATAAACTGTGGCATACCCATCCCACTGTATCATTACAGCAAGCACACATTGGTGACTCTTAAAAACATAATGTGGGGGGGGGGATAGTTGCAGAAGAATACATACAGCTGGATTTTGTTTACATCAAGTTCAAATGTAAAATGAAGTACTATACTGTTAGGAATTAAAATATGTGGTACCAGTAAACTCTGTGAACTTGGAGAAACGATGAAAGTTATACAGTTGTTCAGGTCTTCCATTCATAGGATCACTATGAGTGTCTGCGACTTGACGGCACTTAACAACAACACCAGCAGCGAGAGAGTTCTGTGGGCCTGGTTGATAGTTATGCTACCAAGCCAGAGGTGGGTGATTTTCATCTGCGGCCCTCAGGCCTAGTTTTGATTGTTTTTGGTCAAACATTCTTCTAAGTGGTATAGCACTGGTCTGTCCACTTTACGTTCAGAGTGGTTGTCCACGTGATGTAACTCGTGGTTGCTGTGATGCTAAACACTGTGACACTGATGCATCAAATGAGATAATGGTTACCCATGGTGGACAGTGTTTGGTTGAGTTCCCTGATTAAAACAAGCTTGGAAGCAGGAGTGGCATCCACTTCCAAAATAGTTTTCCTCCGGAAACTATGAACTTGGAGAAATGATGAAAGTTATACAGTTGTTCAGGTCTTTTGTTCATAGGGTCACTATGAGTCATCTGTGACTCAACGGCACTTAAGAACACAGCCAATAAAAGAAGAGGAATGGTACATGGAGGTTACCTCTGGAGAAGGAGGTGACCAGCAAGGGGCACGTGGTATAGGGGCCCTTTAGAGACTATCCCACAGGTCCTTTTGCAAACAGGAGAAATGAAGCATGTTTGGCTTTTCCGTTTTTCTCCTTTTCCCCTTTACAAATATTTGTCAGTTTCATCCTCAAGCCCCGTTTTCTAATGATTCTCTTCCTTGGGAAGAGAAGGGGAGCCCTGCTGGGCAGCCCAGCTTGTGATGTCAGCAGCCACACTTTTGAAATCCTCACCCATGTGCCTGTTAGCATAGCTTCGGTCTTCTCATTCCCTCCTGCTTGAGTGGCGATTTTAAAAAATATCTGTGGAGGATTCTTGGTAACATGAAAACATCCCCTTTGCTCATTAACTGGTAAGCTAAACGATTCCTTATACTATTAGAAGAGAGAGAAGAGCTATTCCCTGAGGCTTCTTCCCCAGTTAATTGGATCACGGGAGTCATTGTACTGTGGGGGATAAGAGGAGCTGTCGTAGGTCTGAACATCTTCATGATGGCGAGGGATAGAAATTGAGCACATGCAGGAAATAGAGATAGCCAGATAGAAAAGAAACTTTAAAGAGAAGAGTGGTGGCAGTCCTTGGTTGGCCATAATGTGTCATTTAGGCCCCACCAGACCATGCAGTTGGCCTGGCCCTTCCCACGGTACTAGCTGTTGGGGATGTGTGATATGCTGTCTCCTCCTAGGGGTGGCTGAAGTTCATGCAGCTCAGAAACCGTGAAAAAACCCCGCCTTGCGCCCAGCTGATTGATAACAGCTTTGTCTTCATAAACAGATTGACTAGCTCAGGAAAGCACCCCTCTGCTACACAGGCCTGAGTCAGAGGGCCCCACCCAGGCAGCAGACAGGCTGAGAGCAGGTGCAGAACTGAGAACAAACGGGTTCACATTAGTGCAGGCGCATGACTCGGCAGAGATTCACAGGCAGGGGCAGGCAGGGCCCAGTGCCCAGAGCAAGTTGTTTTGGGCCGAGTTTCCCCGTTCCTCCCTGTGGTTAGGTAACTCTTCAGCTTGTAAGTTATGGAGACCACACCCCAAGCAATACACTTAGTGACCTGTCCCCTTGGCTGGTGATCCTGAAGGGCCATGTTTCCTTTTTTGACTGGGCCTTTGGGTAATTCAGGAGCTTTGGTATCACAGTCGACTAAGCACTCAGCTGCAGCCTGAAAGGTCTGCTCATAAATCTACCAGCTGTTCTGTGGGAAGATGATGTAGCAGGCTCTTCTGTGAAGATGTATAGCTTTGAAAAGCCCCACTTTCTCCTTTAAGGGTGCTGGAGTTGAATTGGATGGCAGCAGGTCGCGTTGGGTAACTGAGCTGCTTTGTTAGAATGTGTCATTGAAATACAATTTCATTCCATGTCAGACCTTTTTGCCCATAAAATAAGCCAAAGGATTAAAGAGATCTATGTGCCAAATACCTTAAAAGACTTTCGAAAAAGGAGACTTAATAAGGGAGCTCTGGTAGCCTAGTGGTAAGCTGTGCTGTAGTTCCAAGCACATGCGGGTTCGAATCTTCGAATCCACCACCAGCTGCTCTGCAGGAGAAAGATGGGCAGTCTCCTTCCATGTGATTAACTGCCTCTGAAGACCTGCCGGAGGGTCAACTGTGGGTCAGTTCCTGTGGAATTGGATGACACACAACACCACCAACAGTATCTCTGAAGAGCCCACCTGCTTTTCCAAGGATCACTGTACCTTGATCAGTGTAGCCAAAGCTCCTTTCAGAGAAGACCAGTGCTTTATATTCATCATCTCCAGTCCTTTATCGAGCATTCTGTCTAGATTTGCTGGCCCTGCTTAGCTTTCCAGTTCAAGCATGATGACCACTCTTTCCTCACCTTCAGGTCAGCCAGTAGCCACTCGTCACCCTAATTAGAAAGACTTGGTAACAGACTCCAACAGGAAATTTCCCTTTGTATTACTCATCCTTTGTTTTGACTATAGGAATTATTTTTTTCCAAATTTTAAAGGTTAAACATATTTATTATTTTAAAAATTCAAAAATTATGGAAATTCAGTGTGGAAAATAAAAGCTGCCAGGCACGGGGGCAGTAAAAAAAAAAAATCACTATTACCAGTTTCTGCTATTTTTTTTTCCTGTCCTTACACTAACATGGGAACAGAACATTCCATGTATTTTCAACATTCTTTTTCACTTAATAGGTACTTTGGGCATCATTCCACTAGAATACTTTTATTTTTTTAATAGCTTCAGATTATATGGATGTGTGAACCATAATTTGCATAATTTCTCTGTGTGTGTGTGTGTGTATGCACGCACCTGTCTGATTTTTACTAGGGAGTCCAGGTGGCCTACTAGGTAAGGAACTGTGCTGCCAAACCAAAGGCAGGTTCAAGTCCATGAGCTGCTTCCCAGCAGCAAGATGAACAATCTCCTCTCATGTTGATTTACAGCCTCTGAAAGCTGTAAGTCAGTTCTAATTCAACAGCACATAACAACAACAATTTTTTACTGATAACAGTGTCATAGTCAACATCTTTTTATGTATATCTCTCGCATTTATGGTAGTATTTCTCCAAGAAAAATTCTTACATTTTGAGAGCTTGCTTAAAAAATTCTACAGTTCCCCTTTCTGCCAGCAGTTATGAACAAGTCTCTTAGGTCACACCCTCAGCAACACTGGCTGTTTACAGTTGTTTTAGTTCCTGTCAGTCTCATAGATGTGACAAAAGAAAATTAGATTTCATGATAATTTGATTTTGTTGATTAGTTTCTCTTTTCTTGTGGTTAACTTGAGCATCTTTTAAAGTATTTGTTGTCTGGTTTTATTGGGCATTAACGAAGCACTTTTTGTTTATCCAGGAGGTTGTGAATTATTGTCACCAACCAGAGTAGGTAATTTCTTGTGTGTCTGTTCCACAGCAAACAGCGTCATAACAAGCTGTGGAGATCTCATTCCGACAGCGACCTCTCGGACCACCATGAACCCATCTGCAAACCCGGGCTCGACCTCAACAAAAAGGAGATCACCACCTCGGCAGACCGGATCGCTGAAGTCAAGACCCTGGAGAGCCACCCGCCCATCCCTCCTGTCTTCGTGGAGCACGTGGTCCCACAAGATGCAAACCAGAAAGGCCTGTGTACCAAAGAGAGAATGATCTGCTTGGAGTTTACTTCTCGAGATTTTCATGCTGGTCAGATTGAAGATGAATTAAACCTAAATGACATCAACGGATGCTCATCCGGATGTTGTCTGAATGAATCAAAATTCCCTCTTGACAACTGCCACGCATCCAAAGCCTTAATCCAGCCTGGCCAGGCCCCAGAAATGGCAAATAAATACCCAGACTTGACAGTGGAAGATCTGGAGACAGATGCACTGAAAGCCGACGTGAATGTCCACCTACTGCCTATGGAAGAATTGACGTCGCGGCTAAAAGACCTTCCCATGTCCCCTGACCCTGAGTCACCAAGCCCCCAACCCAGCTGCCAGGTTCAAGTCTCTGATTTCAGTACAGACCGCATTGATTTTTTTAGTGCCCTAGAAAAGTTTGTAGAACTTTCTCAAGAAACCCGGTCCCAATCTTTCCCCCACTCAAGGATGGAGGAATTGGGCGGGGGAAGGAGTGAAAGCTGCCGGCTGTCCGTGGTCGAAGTAGCCCCCTCAGAAGCGCCGGCAGATGACCAGAGGAGCAGCTCGTTGAGTAACACGCCCCACGCATCCGAAGAGTCTTCAATTGATGAGGAGCAGTCAAAGGTAAAAGTTCTCTTCCTAATGAAGTTCTCCTCCGAATCGAAATGTGTAGGATTCTGTTCTGTGCACTGTATTCAATGATGCTATATATTTAAGAAAGCATTGTTGTCATTGTTGATTGCCTCGAGTGGAGCACGACTCATAGCAACCCTATGAACAAAAGACCAGAAGCCCCTCTACAACTATCAACATTTATCAAAGTTCATAGAGTTTTCGGAGGCAAGTTGTTGAAGTGGATGCCTCTCCTGCTTAATGAGGCATTAGGGGAAGGGAGGGAGGGAGGGAGGGAGGAAAAGCACAAAGCTCATTTTTCTAGATTTCAGTTTTCCTAGATTTCTCCCAAAGACATAACTAAGTTAGTTAGTACTAACTAGCTCCAGCTCACTTTTGAGGAAGAGACACCCGAACCATTCCAAAAAAATCTATATTTTGGAAGAACTCACTATATAAGGTGACAAAATTCCAAAATCAAATTACATTAAAATATACATTGTACCTAAAATAGGTCAGAAAAATCTGCAGTAATAATAGAGACAAAGAAATATGAAGGGTTGAGATGAAAGGTATAAGGATAATGATAAAAACCCAGAAGGTGAGTAGAAAGCCTCTAGCTGTGCATGCTTTTATTTCTCCAATCTTAACATTAGGCCTTAAAGAAATGATGATAGTTCAGAAAGGCATCAGGTCTTTTGTTCATAGAGTAGCTGTGAGTTGTGCTCAACTCAGTGGCAAACAGCAACAACATTAGGCAATTGGAAGGAGGATAAATCAAGAATGTTGTATTGTTTAGGGTAAATTTCAATAAGTTCAACCCAGAACCAACTCTTTCATTCTCAAGGGTAATGACTTACGTTCAAGTAGTCAGTTACTTTCTGAGAAATTTATCTTGTCCAGCTTTTGGAATCATTTCAGAAAGGGGATGAAGCGGGAAGGCTTTAGCTGAAATGATTGTCTTAGCTGCCAAGGAGAGGTCCCCTCCCTGGACTCTCCTGTTCAGATCATTTGTCACCAGGAATGAAGCGCTGATTAGATGTGTGTGTCTCTGAGAAGATGGATGTGCTTGGAAAAATCTCTTTGTTTCGGCCCAAAATTCAAAGAGGAGGCACATGTAAATAGCTGTTAGAGTAGCAACTGATCCTTCATAGTGAGGTCTAGCAATTAATAATGTTGCTGAAGTGTTGCTTAGCTCAGAACCAGTGGTCCTTGCCTATTGAGGATTGGTATGAGAAAATTATTTGAGAGCAGACAGAATATTCCTAAGATTCTTCTTAGTCACATAAGTTTCTTAAGAAGCCATCTCATATGGGAAAAGAATTATTGCTGTATCACCCATTCTAAGATTCACATTTACTCTCATTTTGACATTGCTGAAATTGGGATTCACCTTCTAGGTGATGTTGTCTGCACAGAGTACAGTACTTAAGCTGGAAAGTAAATTGTGACATGTTTAATTTATCAAAGTTCCCTAATAATTTTAGAGCCGCAGAATAGATTCCTGAGATTTCCTGATGTCTCCCAGTTAATATTTTACACTTCGTCTGCTCCCCATCTGTTTTCTCATTAACTGCCCAAGAGCAGTCCTTGTCTCTCACCTGTCTTCGCCTCTCCTCAGAGGCTGTGCCTGTTCCCTTTCTCCTGGACATCAGAATGCTTGTTTTCTTCTTAGCACCTGTGGGTCCAGCATAGTGACAGAAATAGCCTTTCTGCCGAGACCTGGGTCACATGAGCACTCTCTCCACAGGCCATGCACACAGGAACTGCTATGGCCTCTCTCCCAGCCTTGGCAGGTTTGCCTCACCTTAATATTCCAGCAGATTTCTCCCAAAGACATGACTAAGCTGGTTAGTACTAACTAGCTCCACCTGACTTTTGAGGAAGAGACTCCTGAAGTAATTGTACTTTGAAAGCTTATTATAAAAATGTTATGATGGCTCTTTAAGAGCTACCCAAAAGCCGTGTCCAGATTTACTTATTTTTTTTTTTTTAATCTTGGGGGGAGTTTTTTGCATTGACAAGATTGACCTGATTTTGCATTGGCCAAATATTTTGGTCTTGTTTTAATTAATTAAGCATCCGTAAATGGTAAAAGAATCCAGTTATAGTCACAGTTTCTAAGTGTGCTGAGCATTGTGGCTACCCAAGCTAAGCTACCCTTTCCCTCAAGGAGCCGTGGGGAGCTTGGGGATTGTGTGGTCAGATACAGAGTGCATTCTGCCCTGCATGCGATGCTGCTGCCGGAAGCAGCACTGGGAGGATGCGGATGAAAGCTGGCAAGACTGAGGAGAGAAGAAAGCAGTCGTGGTCTATCAGACGTCAGGTTGTAGCTTCATCCGTCTTTCTCCAAGGTACATCTGACGTGGCCACCCGCCCATGAACGGAACTCTTTCACTTGAACTGTATAGGATCCAGCTGGAAGTTGCTAAGCCAGAGAGAAAATACTTTATTTGTCCCAGTATGACCTGAATCCTGGGTGCTTGTAGGGACTGTTTGACTTTCATTTTGGAGCAAGGAATTAAATTGGTCCTGCTCGAGTGAATAGAAGGGTTTATAGACCTGAGAACTAATTTTGTTATCTCTGTCCTTGATGAATCCCAGTTTTTGCCTTGTGCCACAAAACAGATGGTCAGAGGATAGCCTCAGGCTGCATTAAAATTGGTGTCCTTATGTCCAGATAAGTTGTCCTGGATCAGAGCGTTCATAAGCAGAACACCTGACATTTTCAAACAGACTACTATTTTCCATAACCGTCTCATTGCTTTCTCCTCCTAGGCAATCTCAGAGCTGTTCAGCCCAGATGTCTTCATGCAGCCCTACTCAGAAAATGCCATTTCAGTCAAAGAAATCGTCACTGGGATCGAGTCCATCAGTCAGGGAGCCGGGCAGATTCCACTGAAAGGAGATGGCCCGTCCAACCCATGCCATACACCAAAGAAGAGCGCCACCCACGAGCTGCCTGTCGAGAGGGCCCAGGCGCCAGATAACAAGCTTGGCAATCTGGAACAGAATGAGGGTCCCTGCACAGCCCAGCCTGAACTAGCCAAAGACTCGGGGAAGTGGGACTCAGAAGGTTGCCTCGTCATGCGGTCACTCCCAGCAGACATGGAAGAGGAGGAACCAGCCGAAGAGGAGCAGGAGTTCCGAGGCCCAGGGACGCACCCAGGGGCCAAGTGGTGCTCCGGATCGGTGAGGCGAGCCACGCTGGAGTTCGAGGAGCGCTTGCGGCAGGAGCAGGAGCACCATGGTGCGGCCCCCATCTGCGCCTCTGTGTCCACACGCAAGAACTCCAAGAACGATACTCTTGTGGCAGACTCGGCGCCAAGAGGGAAAAGTGATGAAGCCGCTCCGGAACATTCCGCCGTTCTCAAGGAGTCGGAGCTGAGCAAGGGCAAAGGGGAATGTGCTGGGCCGGAGCCTGGCAGGCTGCCCTTCTCTGACCAGCAAGCCCCTACTCCCCAGTCTGAACTGCTGGAGTCCCCCACTTCATTGGCCCCTCGGGAGTGCCAGGGGTCCGATGCCAGAACGCAGCAGGAAGGAGCCCCACAGCAGAGGGTTGTGCGCTCATGCCAGGTGCCCGAGACACAGGCAGCCCCCCTTTGCCTTCCCAAGAGGATAGAAATCATCGAGTACACGCACACAGTGACATCACATGCTCGCTCTGGGCTCGGGGCTGAAGTCGCCACCACTGACCAGAATGGGGATCCAGGGCTGCGGAAAACGCCCGTGGGAAAGCCCGTGACTGTGCTGTGTGCGCTGGATGAGAACCTGAACAGGACTCTCTGCCCCAACCAGGTCTCTCTGCGCCCCCAAATGCTACCTCTACCACATTCTTCCTTTCCTGAGCAGGACAGGCGCAGCAGCCTCCCCTGCCTTCCCAGCAGCCCCAAGGACAGGAGCCACAGCCCACCCACACCCAGGGAGGTAGCAATGCCTTTTGTCAGTTGCACCACCCACGTGCCACCTGCCAACATAGATTTCCTGCATCCTCAGACCGTGGTCCACCTGGAGGGCGTCACAGAGCAGAGCAGCAGTACAGACCACGAGCCTTCGATAGGGCAGGTGGGCCCCCTCTCCGGTGACAGTGAGGTGCCCACGAGGGGCTCCCAGCCAAGTAACAAAGACCTAAATTTAATTAGCAAACTTGGTGACAGTGGTGAAGAGTCCGAAGACCTGGACCCATCACCTGTAGCCCGTTCACTCACCCACAGCACCAGTAGTGACAGCGTGAAGGCCTTGGGCCACAGCGCTGGCGTGGTGAAAGAACGTGCTAAAGAAATCGAGTCCCGGGTGATCTGCCAGACAGGGCTCACCCAGCCAGCCCAAATGAGACGCTCCGCTTCCTTTGCCAAGTTAGGTTACTTGGACCTTTGTAAAGACTGTTTACCGGAGAGGGAACCTGTGGCCTCAGAAAGCCCTCATCTCAAACTGCTCCAGCCCTTCCTCAGGACGGACTTGGGCATGCATGCCATTGAGGTCCGGGAGCCCCAGGAAAACCCAGGTGCCCCCCAGAACCCAGAGCCCACCAAGTATTTTGTAGAGCAACTCAAAACGACCGAGTGCATCGCGCAGAGCAGGCCAGTGGAGAGGCCCCTCGTGCAGTATGCCAAAGAATGTGGTTACAGCCAGCAGTGTTCGTTCCCCGGGGCAGGGTCTGAATGGACTAGCTCTGAAGGAGGCCTCCCCTCGCTGCAGGTCCAGGGGCGGCAGGGTGCAGGCCCCACTCCAGGACTGGCCACTGCATCTCGGCAGCAGCATGGCAGAACTCATCCCCTTAGGAGACTTAAAAAGGCAAATGACAAAAAGCGGACAACCAACCCCTTCTATAATACCATGTGATTCTGAGCCTACACATGTGACTTTTGAAAAGAAATGTTTGTAAAAGGGGCAGGTGTAATAAGTAAGGAACATGCACTTTATTGGTTAATTTCCTAACGTTCTGGTCATTTTCCTGTTCCTGGCGCATGCAGGGTTTGGGTTTTCAGTGTCTGTGTCTATGTGTGTGTGCACGCGCGTGAGAGAGACTGGGGACTGCGAGACCATTTTTGTCTTTTTTTTTTTTTAAAGTTCAAACCTCAAAGCAAAACTCATTTTCAAAGAACACCTTTATCAAAGGCAAATTGCTGTTTTTCGATCAGCTGCCAGCTGTTCTTCCCTTTGGCCCTCTGAGACAAGACCCGCCTGGTTGAGTGAGGGAAAGAAGCAGATGGGGAAGGTGGAGATGGAGTTGGAAATTGGGGATGCTCCCTGGGGCCTTTGCAATGGCTTAGGCTTCCAAACAACTGGAGGGCAGCTGGACGGGCGCCAAAGTGCTCCCGGCCTTTGGTTCTGGTTCCGGCCCACCTGGAGCCCCTGAGGCAGCCGGGTTCTGCTGGGCTTTTCTGCCAGAGTTCATTTTTCTGCTATTCCAAGGCCTATTGTTACAGAAAGGCATGAGAATAGCCAGCTTTGCAAATCTACCAAACAAAATGTGCCATTAAATTGAAAGTGAACACCAACTAAGACCCAGGAGAACGTCTTCTGTAGAGGAAAGCATGACAAGAAGGGGTGGGTGGGAAAAGTCACTGCCCTGTGATGTCCAGGCTGGTGGCATCCACCGAGGTGGTCACCCTGCCCCTCCCAATCTCCTACCTAAAGCACAGTAGTGACAGATTTGTGAAACAGCAATCAAAACTCAGAGTGTTCTTGTAAAATGAATACATCTGTAGGGTTTTAACCCTTCCATTACTTGAATAATTTTCTGGGCCTTCTGAGTTTAATGGCCATATTTTTTTTTCTCCCCCAATTTATTTCCCTCCCTCTTGCTATTTCCCCAGTGTTGCCTGTAGTTGTCATTTTCTTTTTTTTCGTTTCATAGATGATACTTGGTTTGTTACATTGCAGATATATAACCTCTTGAAAGCAAAATTCTGCATTATCACTGTTAACACTTGAGTTTTTTTAGGTTGTGGTTTTTTTGTGCTGGGTTTTTTCCCCTTTTCCTTTCCTCCATTCTTTTCCTGGAAGATTGTCATTTCTTTCAAACTTTATTCACAGTATTTATGTACATAATGTTGTCACTTCCTTACAGTGTTGTGTTGTTAATATCTTTTCTTCTATTTTATTCTTCTCAAGGAGTTTAACTGCAACTGGAAAGCCCTCAAAGGCATCACAGAAATTAAACTGATGGGTGTTGGTAGGAATCTGCATAGTTTATTGATGGTGGTTTTAATTGTTTAAATGGAGATCTCCAGTCTCCATTTCCTGCCAAATTATGTGTTAGTAACTTCCTCCTCAGAGAATCCCTTAAAGGTTCCCACTAGATCACAGTTTTGACTGAAGGCTGATTTCTCCCTGGGACTGAAGCCCCTGACAGTTTGGCACTGGCTGACCAGCAGCCAGAGTGGATGAGAGCATCACCACAGCCTGCAGGGGCTGAGGAGGTGGGGGGGCCCAGGGCAAGCGACTGGTAATGACTGCATTCCCGATGCTGGGGCTCTGCTGCTGCTGTTGGCATCACTTCATGCGGGAGCACCTGCTATATATAAGCCTATTTCAGCTTCCTACAGAAAGCATACTTCACCTGGATCAAAAATACTCTCTGAAACGCACCAAAACAGAAGTGGTTTGCAAATTTGCTTCCCGTTGCCCTGGGTGGTGGCCACATTGGATTGACCAAGTGCTCCCCTGAGACTTGGGTCTGGCTTGTCACAGCACTGAAAGGAGAAGACAGATGCAGAAACTGTCGCATTGATGTCAGAGGCTAGTAGGGGCGGGCAGTAGGGCGACCTGGAGGAGGCAGGAAAGGTGGACCAAGGCCACCTCAAGATTAGCTATAAGCCAGGAGACGGGCTGGCCAGAACCGCCTGTCACAGTGTCTTTGTGCTGTAGTGATTGTGTGTGACTGTGCTGTCCCTGAATAGCTTTTGTAAACGTTCAGATGTATCATCCATACAGCTTTGTGGTTCCTGGATATTTAGTGTGTTGTGAGGTGTTTTTAAGATGGTGTGCACCACTGTGAGGAGATGTCCACGACAGGGTTATGACCTTCCCAGGCTCGTCCATCTGAGGTGTCCATCTTAATGAGAAGATTCCACCACCCATATGATGGGAAAGGACAGGAGAGGGGTGGGAGCAGGGAGAGATTTGCATAGAAGAGGGCAGTGTCTGCTCATGATGGGACATCCCGCATTAAGAAGTCAGAGTCTAAAAAAAAAAAAAAAGAAGTCAGAGTCTCCATTGCACTGTGCTCTCTCCCTACCACTGCAATGACTGTTCACGCTCACTGCATAAATGAGAAAGCCTGGAGGAAGCTTCTGATGCTCTGAAAAACATTCTGTATCGCTTACCTACCCTATGCAGGGGGCAGGGGCGGTCATACACCTCTACCAGGGGACCTTGCCAGCCCCTCCAACCCCTGCAGCTGGGTGTCCTTTACACCAATAGGGCTTCATTTGCCCAGCTGAACAGTGTCCAAGGGAAGTGTATAATGAGGTATTAAGGACTTTCTCAGCCTGCCTTCTCTGCAAACTTTGTGATCGTCTCTCCTGACCTGTCTTCCTTTTCTGTATGTGGAAATACCAGATTGGGGAGTGGGGGAGGACCACTTTGATAGGTTGACAGAACTGAGGAGAGAAAGTTCAGGCTTCTTGCCCAGTGCCTCTGGGTCTTTATTTTGAAAACCACCATGGTCAGACTTTTCATTTACTCTGGAGGTGGGTGTGTTGCGTGTGGTTGTGTGGGTGTATGTTTTCATGTGCATCCACACATGTGTGAGCACATATGCATTAAAAAAGTAACAATGTGGTGCATGGAGGGAAGCCCCAGGAGCACACAGGCTCTGGGCGGTAATCTGGAATGGCCACCTGGTCTGTAAGAAAGGAGAGAAATTCCACGTCTCTGTTGGTTTTGAGCACACTTAGGAATGGTGTGCACTGGGGTGGACGTTTAATACTGTTGGATGGTAATAATCATCTCTCCTCTTCTTGATTGCCTTTCAGATTCTAAAAGTTTGGGATCTTTCCTCACATCCCAACCCCTCAGGTCCTTTATCCCAGCTGATACCTTCTCCTTCCTATTTTCAGAACAGCCCAGGCTCTGAGGTCTCCTGCCATGGGCTGGACCTTCTTGTAAGAAGAAGCTGCTTTTCTGAGACAAAGCAGCTTGCAGAAAGCGTCACCTGTTTCATTGGAGGGTCCGTTCTGAAGCGATCTAAGCATATTTGGTTTTTAAAAAAAAGTTTTTGTAGTTGTTTCTTGTTCTAAGAAAGCATTATGCAAAAAAAAAAAAAAAAGAATCATCTTTAAAGGGCATTTAAAATTTTTTAAATAAAGCCATTATTTGGCTTTTTGGACACTTATTTGTGGATACTTTGTTTACATTGTATTAAAACCTGCATCATCTTGTTGGCCACTCAGTCCCCTTCCTCTCCAGGTACCCAGCCATGGTTGCCTGTGAGTCCTCAGAGCAGTTCCTTCGTGGCGAGCCCTCATGGCTAATTGGGTAAGCCTGGAGCTGCACCCCATCCAGCACCCCGTAAGGACAGTAGTCGCCGTTTCCTCAGTGATGGTGTGTCTTACAGTGAAGGTTGTAATGGTGAATGGCTAGTGTCATTTTTGTTTAATTCTATTTTGCTTTTTTGATGGTAGACAAGGTAAAATTTTAGCTGTTTTCATTACCAGCCTGACTTCAAAACATCTTAGATTTTGTTTTCCCTTCCAAACTACAAGTCAGATCAAGGCAGGTCATAGGTCTAAGTGTGTATTTGCTGCCTCAATTCATATGACACCCATATTAGGGAAAGGCCTGCTCCCAGAGCAGGAAGCTGCATACTCCTAACCTTCCCCCGAGGCTTGAGGTCCCTTGACGCAGCGGGGAGCCATTGCAAGGTGCTTCTGTACGTTTCCAGCCTGGAAGTGGTGGGTGACTGGACCTGGCTCCCGCTATGAAAAGAGACCAGCCTCATTTTCTCAGTGCCCCAGAAAATCACATTCAGGACTTCTAAACTGGAATCACCCCTCACCAGCTTGAAGAGCCCCCGACAGGTAATAGGGCTGGTGTGTTGTCTCCGTGTCCTGACGGCACCAGTGATGCAGCCCTGGTACCCGCTCAGAGCTAGCACCCTGGGCTGAACTCATGGAGCCAGTGACCCATCTGGAAGCTGGGCAACTGGCCCTGAAGCTTTTTCCAGACAGCACACCCACAGAGGATTGCGTGGTTTTTCTGTTTTGTCAGGTTTTCATTTGCTTGGCATAGATTAAGGTGCCTTTTCTTTGTTTCTTTCTACTTTGTTTAGGACTTGTTCAGAACATGGCAAACGAGTCCAGGAGATCCTCCCACTGACTGTTACCTTTGCCCTAGGCCACCCCAAATTTTTAAGCTCATGTTTTATTAAATAAAGCAGGTGCTCCCTGGGATCTCTGGGACCTTTTTGAGGCATTTGAAACAGAATTATAAAGAGTGGGCTCATCTCCTTCCTTAATCTTCTTGGTGGTTGGGATGTTCCACTTGTATCATATTTTTTTTTTATTACCGATGTGCTCCGCTGTTTTTAAATGTGAACTTGTGCGCAAATGTGCAGATTCAATGTTCTTGTTACAGATTGAATAAATTTTTATTTTGAAGATGAAACACCACCACATGTGCTTAATCAAATACAACAAAGGGAGGGGTGTGTTGGGGAGGCCTGGGGATTGGAGAACGGTGATGACTCAAACCTGAAAGAGTTCTCATTGGTTGATTTCCCCTCAGGCACACCCTTGACAACTGCCCTCAGGAAAAATAAAAAACCTTTCTACCTTGTGCAAAAGACTAGAAGAGAGATAGACTATACCAGACATCATCTTGGAGCAGTTCCATCA